AATTTGTAGCTCATTCAATATGGACTGTGTAGCGCTGTGATTATCATCATATCCCATGTTGTACAAAACCATTGAAGTTGTTTCACATGATGTCTTATCCTGTCCATACAAATAGTTAGTATAATTCTTGTATCACTTATTATGGTACTTAGCCTCAGTGGCAACACAATCTTGTCCACAATTTTTAATAAGATCCTGTAGTTGTCCTTTTTCTTTGTGCCAGCTTCGCGCAATAGACCTGCATCTGAAGTCTCAACAAGGGTTACTCTTCACGGGTAATAATTTTGGAATAAATATTATTCAGGTGATTATTTTGCTACGTGATCGCTGTACCATTTACTAGCAACTGTATAATGATTTCATTTAATGATAAATATACCATATAATTACAATGTAAGACATACCATGACATTTGAACAAATCGGATTGTTTCTCGCATATTATGCATACGGGGGGCAAAACATTTGGTGATCTAGCCTTCATGTCACTATTTTGGGGACCATCATTGTCAAGTGATGAGTGTAAAAGCTTCTTTGGTGGAACAGTCTGCAACTTCACAGCCAATTAAGATTTCACTGCCTCATGTTCTCTTTTCCTCCACTTTTTGCAACTTGTTTTAATCACAAAGTCGTTTATAACAGTTCTCATGGTAAAACCAGTCCAGTTACCAGTGCCTCCTGAGGCCCCCCCCCATTTAATTTTTTAAGTGGGGCGTTATTTTTTCAAACTTAAGTTGGGGGTGGGAAAGAAAAAAATTTTTCAAACCATATTCCTTAAAAATAACAATTTTTTCCCTGTGTATGTCTACTATAAAGGGGGTCCGAATTTCACAATTTCACCAATTCCTGCTTTTGGGGGCCACCTGTTGCAAATTTTCTGACCCTATACAACTGAGGCTCAGGCCAATTTTCCCAATGTACTAGCAAAATGTTTATGGTCATTTTTTGTTGGGGGGGGGGTCATGGTAGCCGCTTCTGGGCACCCAAACACCCTTTGAGTTCCCCACATCAGTTAAAGCGTGAAAAATGCCTTTCTACATTGGGCTATCTATTTAATATCCACATCCCCCTCCTGTCGATAAGGTCAGTAAAATTTTAACTCCCAAGAAAAAAAAGATCAAAGTGCTGACAGCCTGACACAAAACCCCTCTGACATTTGTAAATTTTCCCTTACTCCTCAGAACAATAAAAAACATCAAAGTATGCCGACAGGCTTAACCGCACAGAAATGACTTTGGGGTCACCCTTCAGAGAAATTCATGCAAAGAGGACGGGGGGGGGGTCTGGACATTAAAGATGCGGTACAGTCCGATCTGTGCATGTGCACAAAGGAGCCCTCTTTTTATTATACAAACAGTAAAAGCGTAATTGTTGTGTCTTGATAATTTATTATACTCTAGAATCGTGAAAATATAAATAGTTGTCGAATGAAATTCAATGTTTTGGATACCAAGATGTAAACAAAGCCTTTGTTTACATACAGACTGTACCGCACTTTAAACTTAATGTACACCCCGCCCCTATGGACGAGTTCGATAAAATTTGAACCCATATAAGGCCCTATAAAGAAGAAAAGATCAAAGTGCCGACACAAACACCCCCCAGAAATTAAGAAATTTTTGCCTTACCCCTCAGGAAAAACGCAAAGATCAAAGTATGCCGATGCACACAACCCCTCAGCAACAGCTTTTTCAACCCCCCTCAGAAACTCTCGTCTATAGGGGGGGGGGGGTATAATTAAGTGGTGGCCCCATCTTCGCTAGTAAACAAGTCCGAATTGTGACAGATTTCTGGTCTTTGAGCTTCGCCAATTTCTCACGACAAACAACATATCTCTTCAGACGCTTCTCTGTGACCTTTAGAAGTGATTGTGAAACATCCTCAAAATGAATACAACATTTATTCAATTTAAAATGTTTGAGTGACCAGCTTGTTTCAGCCGCCATATTGCTTTTATCCGCGCATGGCAGCTATGTTGCCATGGAAACACACACGATTTCAAGATAGCGTAAACGAAACATTGATCGAATATTATCAAAGTTTCAAGTCTATTTTCTACCAATTGTGCACACTAGTGAACAGGGGCTTTGTATTTCATGAACAAGGAGACTAATATGCATTGTATTATGGCGGAATGTTTTAGCCTCGCAACATGTGCAACAAACTTGAAAGATATAGCAGATATGTGACGGCCTATTTCAGTTACATTCATAAAATTTTTGACATATTTGAAATTTGAACCCGTAGATACATTTATGCATAATTGCAACATTTTTTTATATCATAATTTGCAAATTTATGCGAGTAAATCGTTAACCAAACTCCGGATGAAATTGAAATTGGTATCGTTGGAAAGCGGACGTCCTCCTGTTTCGAACGATGCAATTTCTGTTCTCGTACGATGTATACTTTGAAAGATATATGCGTTTAAAACAACGCCACTCGAAATTGCTCATTTTTGACCGGATGGGAGTGAGTTAATAACAAATTATAAAAATAAATGATTCTTTTGGTAAAAAATTATCTCCTATTATTTTCTCATATTATTTTCATGTTACCATAGCGACTATTATTATGTTGAACATGGAGTACTTCATATTGAATGGAATTTCTATACTTCGTCTGTTAAGAAAGGCGAGGGGTTGCTGCATGCATGTATTTCTAGTTTTTACAGTGTATTTGGTTAAAATTAGAATGCTGTTTTTAGGGTTTGTAATCCAAGTGAGTAGATATACATTTTAAGATCAGACCAGGAACGACTGTGAAAAATGCAGGTGTGCGCCAGAGCTGGAGTTCTTCCGGAGATCCCCCGGTTTTTTCGACGCGAGAGCAGAATTTTGTATGCCGGAATGTATGGTTACTGCAAACTGCCAATTGCTGTTAATGAATTCATCATAGACTCAGTAATTATGTACTGTATAACGGTTTAAACGTAGGCCGTACAGCACACTGTCACTGAGCCAAAGTATAAACCGAAAATTCACTTCTCTCATCACAAGATTTAATGTTCAGTCGATCTGCTACATTGAAATATGAGTACTTGGTCTTGAATTTTTTAATAAATCTTTATTAATAATAACAAAAATTTGTAATAGTAAACAGTGTATTTTATTATAAAGGATTTTCGTTTTTCTACTGCTCCATACTTTGTGTTCTCTGTGCTCCCTGTGCTCTGTGCTTTACTAATAGCCCTACATAGTCTGTGTATTCATGCCTTGTAGATAACGAAAAAGTACGAAACAAATAAATATCAACCCTTTGAAAATGACAGAGTACTTTGTTTGCATGCAAACAATTGCGCTATGGAGTCTGAGAGTATTAGCATCATGCCTAGCGTCATGCTATATAAAAATTGCAACACTGTCAAAATTTTTCGAGGCTGGTTTCCATATATAGAAATTTTTGCATGGTTAAGTGTTTTCACCATAGATATCTTATATACACTAGATAGTGCATCTCTTTTAGTAATTGAAGCTGAGAATATTCCAGCGGTTACCCCCATTTGAATAGATGGCGGCCATGTTGGTCGTTCCCACTTGCTAAAAACGCTTAAAAACAACAATAACTTTGATCATTTGAATAGTTTAGGTTTAACTTCATGTTTAAGTTCCCTGTTTAAGAAATAGAAAACATACCAATCTTCTCATTTCATGGGAACGACCTGAGACTGCAATCACAGCTTCAATTTTTGAATTGCAGAATAATTAGATGCACTATCTAGTGTATATAAGATATCTACGGTTTTCACTATTTTGTTTCCTGACTTATGTTACCTGATAATTAGGAGTTTGTAGACAGATTTTGCAGATTAATTAAAGATGCTGGAAGCGCGACCTTATCACAACCCACACACCCGATCACCTATACATACATGAACTTGCGGTTACAGCTCAACAATGGCTTCTGTAGCTCAGTTGGTTAGAGCGCTGCACCAGAATCAGCCGTAGGTTCAATACCTACCAGAGGACCTTGTGCTGCATTTTTTGCAGTTATTCCTGGTCAGGTCTTAAAATGTATATCTACCCACTTGGATTACAGTACAAACCCTAAAAACATCATTCTAATAATAATTCCACCAAGTGAAGTGCAGTAACCAGATTATTATTTGTTAAAATGCAATTAACAGGGCATAATTGCACTGTTCATGTGATGAAAACATGTTATTTAGCTGCTACTATACAGAATAACTATACTTTCACAATATATTAGAACCAGTAAGGTATTATTGAGTCAAGTTAGTATTGGTTGAGTAGATTGGTCAAGTTGGTCAGTTGACCAATTTGATAAGCTTTCACAAACTTCAAAGCCTAAATTGGCAAAGTATGTTTTACATAACATGGCCACACACAAGTCATGAATCACAAAAAATTAATTAGCCCAATCCCAGATGAAACAATTAACAAGTACCTTATTATTGTGGATCAATTTAGTCAGGTTTCTTTAAATATTTTCCCACTTTAGAAATAGTTTAAATAATGTGTGTCACTGTCATGCTTTGCACGCTCAAATCTACTTCACTGTTTTCACAGCCATTTTAAAGATGCGGTACAGTCTGTATAGGCCGTATTCTGTGGCCACTTATCGTTCAGTTCCGCTGCCCCCATTTGGGGTCTACTTTTAGTTTACATGAATCTATAGATTTTGATACGCTGAGTACGAATTCAGTTGTTGTAACTCGCACAGACCTGCAGTTTTTTTGTACTTTACGATCAAACATCAACATTTTTTATTAAAATTTCCGCCATTTTGTTCAGGAAACTTCATGTTATATACCGTTATTGTACTAGTCCAAGTCTCTTAGTAGGGGGGTTGCATGCGGTATTATGCAGTTTGTTATCATTCTTCTGAGAAAAATATACAGAAATGAAATAAAAATATAGATATTTTTTCACAATATAAATGCAAAAGGTACTGGTACATGTTTGCAAATAATTAGGAATTAATCTATTATTCTTTATTGCATCAACTCTTGTTTTTTTTGGCTAATCATGATGTGAAATTGCAAAGACTGTCACTATATCCACAAAGACTCTCACAGCTAGTCTCACTTGTCATTGGTAAAGTTGTTTATTTTATTTATTACTGAAATTATGTACATAATTTTGGCCTTGCAATGTGAATAGCCAGAATAGGCAATTTTTCTTTGAAATTTTTGTCAACAATGAATAAGGAGCACAATATATTGTTCAATAAATGTTAGACCTATTTGTAGACCATTACCCATCAAATTATTAGTAGCAGTTGACCTCAATAAAATTAACTCATCTATTTAATAAATCTGCACATAATTAGTTCCATTTTCTTGTATTATAATAACATTTTCCCTATATTATGGGACATTGAGCTTTTATAAATAAAAACTTTTGGAAGATGGCTTTCAAGAGGCTACTTTTTGTCTGTTTATATGGAGTTAACCCAACCTAGATTAGCTATATTTCTTTAATTACTTTATTGTTATTTAAGTATTTACATTAGCAAATGGTGGCTGCACAGGACATAGCCCCAATTATTATAGCTACAATATAACAACCGGCCTAGCTTGGTTTTTCAATTTATGTGAGACTGTTGAGGCAAGCATGGGTGTGCTGGAACAATTAAAGCAGCTGAGCAAAAAACTATATTCACACAAGCAAATCTCAAAGTCATGCCACCTAGAAACATTAATAGCTGTTATCGTAATTTAACACATCTATGCTACGGACCAGCGGTATCTGCATTATTTTAACATCGAGACGAGGCTATAGGGTCATGTTTTGTGTTTTTTTACCCTTTAGCCTCGTTTTCGTGCGCACGTCCACTGAGATACCACTGGTATGCCGCAGCGGCGTATTCAATTACAATAACAGCTATTGATCGAGCCATTTGAGGTTTAAATGTGTAAAAAAATATTAAATACAACATATTGTCATGATCCATCATCACCTTAAGCTCTAATCCTATTTGAGCTGCCATTAATTACCAACTGAACTACTGGAGATTCAGGGATATTTTATATTTGACCAGGCAGACAATAGAAATTTAAAGTAATCTGGCATCACTACCTACCAATATGCCTTAGTTATATAAACCTTCTTTCCTCTTGGGCTGGCCTGCCTGGCCAAAACTCTTTTCCAAGCCTTAGATCTTGGATAACAGCTAGGCATTAAATAATTAATACATAATTCACATCAATCTATTGATATAAATAACATTTCTTTATTTTCTTAGGGGGTGTTTATATATGGAGGGCAGCCAACTCAGATACCCGAGCTAGCTTGCTTTGCCGAGATCTAACATTGCTATGTAATTTATACCAACATTTATCTTGTGTTTAAATGGGAACCGAGCTGGCCTGCCTAGGTGAGATGTTGGAAAATAAAAATATATTTACCTATATTATACTATTTATAGCGGTAAGACCAGTGATTTGTTTTGGCAAGACAGCCCACCTCAAGGGTCTAATGTAAACATGGGATAAAATCAGCTCAGCAAAGAGAGCTAGCTCGGGTGCATGGGCTGGCTTACCTCCATATAAACACCCCATTAGAAGATTTCAAAGTTAAAATTTATTTTGAAATCTCTTCTGAGGGATAAAAACCTCTGTGATTGAGTTGGGAGGTCTATAGAATGCTGACAGATACAATGTTTTGCAATTGCTTAACTTAAGGGATGTCCAAATTATTTCACAATAATTTGGACATCCCTTAAGTTAAGCAATTGCAAAACATTGTATCTGTCAGCATTCTATAGACCTCCCAACTCAATCACAGAGGTACTGGACAAATTCCACGATTCTATCAGTGGAGTATTTGACAAAAGTCTCGCCCATCCCAACGTAATTATTGGAGGAGATTTTAATCTTGGTGACATTGATTGGGTATCAAATGAACCGGCTCCTCATATCTCAAATTCTGCCTCACAGCATAATAAATTCCTACACCTGATTGATGATTTCTCGTTATCTCAACACATCAAATCTACTACTAGACCTGCTTCTGGCAAAATTCTGGATTTATTATTATCTACATATCCAAACTCTGTCCTTAACACTACCACTGTCTTGGGCATCAGCGACCATCTTGCTGTTGTATTCGAAGTAAATTTGAAACCATCATGAGTAGTTAAACCTTCTCATAAAATCTATAACTACAAAAAGGCAGATTTTAATGGTCTCAATGATCACATGCTGAATTTGTCGTCATTGTTCTTCTCGTCTAACCCCAAAAATAGGTCGGTTGAAGAAAACTGGATCAATTTTAAACATGCTTTGTCTGATGGAATAAATCAATTCATCCCCCAGAAGTCGTCGCGACCAAGATTTAATCTTCCATGGATAACTCTTAACATCAAACGGGAAATGCGTAGGAAAGATCGGCTCCATAAAAAGGCTGTCCAAACCAAGAAATCTCAACATTGGAATAGCTTTAAATATCAAAGAAATCATGTGTCTAAGCTTATTAAACAATCACATGAGAACTACCTTAATAACATCATTGGTAGCAGCTTGACCGAGAATCCAAAAAAGTTCTGGTCTTATGTCAAGAATAGCAAATCTGAATCTATAGGAATCCCACCCTTGAAATCTAACTGCACTGTCAGCATCTCAGATAAGGATAAAGCAGAAACCCTAAATTCATATTTCTTCTCAGTTTTTACTTGTGAACAGTTACCATCTCCTAGTATGGGCCAATCACCATACGAGCCCATCACTGACCTGCAGATTAGTCCAGATGGTGTTGCTAAGCAGCTATCCGACTTAAACCTCCAAAAGGCATGTGGTCCAGATGAGATCCCAGCCAGAGTTCTGAAGGAAATTGCTCAGTCTGTATCACAGTGGCTCGCCTTTATTTTCCAGCAATCTTTCGATCACAATGCAATTCCAACTGATTGGTCACAAGCTCTTGTCACTGCTGTATTAAAAAATAATAGTAAGTCCAATCCAGCAAATTATCGGCCAATCTTGTTAACGTGTATTTGTTGTAAAATTATGGAACACATTGTGCTCAGCCACATGGCAAAACATCTTTCTGCAAATAATATCCTAATTGATGAACAACATGGTTTTAGGAAAAATCGCTCATGTGAAACCCAATTAATCTCGACAATTCATGACTGGGGAAAATCTGTCAACTTGAGGAATCAAACTGATGTGATTCTCTTAGAGTTTAAGAAAGCATTTGACTCTGTACCGCATGAGCGTCTCTTGACTAAGCTTGACTACTATGGAATCAGAGGGAATACACGTACATGGATAAAAGCATTCATTACAAATCGTTCTCAAATTGTCTCAATTAATGGAACCCACTCCTCCTCCAAACCTGTTATCTCTGGAGTACCTCAGGGATCCATTCTAGGCCCAGTGTTATTTCTGCTATACATAAATGATATTTCCAACAATATTCAAGTCTACATCTCTTTGCTGATGATTGTGTTCTAATTGACAACCACCAGGATTATCAAATTCTACAAAATGAATAGACTGTCTATCATCTTGGGCTGATTGCTGGAAGCTTAAATTCAATGTATCCAAATGTTACCATCTAGGAATAACCTCAACAAGAACCCCTCACATGTACAATTACTGTTTGAATGGACAAATTATCTGTAGAGAAAGTTCTACAAAATATTTAGGGGTCACCATTACTAGTACCTTGTGCTGGAATGAACACTGTGACAATATTTGTAAAAAAGCTAATTCCACCCTTGGCCTACTTAAACGCATCTTAAGAAGCTGCTCTCCTACAGTTAAAGCTAGAGCCTATCTCAGTCTAGTCCGCCCTAAGCTTGAATATGCTAGTTGCATTTGGAACCCTCATACTAAATGGTAATTCTGAGAAGATTGAAATGATTCAACATTGCGCCACAAGATTTGTTAACAACGACTTTTCCAGAAACAGCCATGTTTCCCCAATGATCAGCAATTTAGGATGGGACACACTTGAACGGCGTAGACTGCTTAACTAGTCGTGTATGTTCTATAAGATCCACCAAGGCTGCGTTGATTTAAACTTCCCCCCTGAAGTGTGCCCTATAAAAAGGAAAAACCCGACTTCCAAATCATCATCCCTTTCAGCAAGTTTCTTGTAACAATGATATTTTTAAATTTTCATTTTTCCCAAGAACCATTGTAACCTGGAACAATCTCCCTTTTATCGAACTGCCTGCAAATATCAACGCTTTTCAAAGTGCTGCATTAAGGGCATCGGTATAATTTTGGCAGGTCAATTTTATTGTACATTTTTACCTTTTAACGTTTTTCATATATATAGTTCATAGTTATTTTGTTAATGTATATACATATATAAGTATCTCCTAGTATAGTGTAAGCTGATTTAGGAGTATCAGATTAAAGATTAAAGATGGCCAGAAATGAAGGACAGCCAGCGGCTTGTCCTGTGGGCTTGGAATTTCAAAAATTCAAAGTGGCGGTCCGGTTTTATAAGGAATTGATAATTTGAGTACAGCGGATTTTTATACGGATGAAAGCAAAAGAATAACCCAAAATAGTGGAAAATATTTTGAGGTTGAGAGGAGTATCTCAAGAAGAACCCGCAAGCGTAAAGTAGGTATCTTACTTATGTGTTTTGTCTTTGTTTATCAGAATTTAATTGAACAAAATATTTGATCTAGCGATTCTAATTACTATATTAAAGAACTAGTTTAATAGTGTTTGATGGCTTAGATGGCATTTAAAATTTTAGAATGAGTATCTTGTCAAGTGGAAAGGGTATACTTCCCTTTCTAACAGTTGGAAACCCGAAGAAAATTTGAATTTGCTGGCTTTGAGGTAGGTTATTTTAATTTAGAATAAAATTTTAAACCCTTTGAATTATAACATTGATGCAAATTGAATTTCAGGAATTAAAGCTGTTTTATTGTGTGTTATATTATATGCAATATAAATGTTGCAGCTTTACACAACACATCACTCTGATTCTTATGTTTTTATTTATCACAGAGCATTTTCTAATCCGGATGCAGAAGTAGTAGCTGCTGGAGTTGATGCCTTTCATGTAGCAATTTTGGAGAACTTAGCTTTTTGGCTACTACAATTTGTTTCTGGCATGATGTGTTCAACTATCTGTTCAAAGGAAAAGGCACTAAAATAAATATCACACAATGTTGGAAAAGGGAGATTTCCAATGTTGTGCTTTTCCCAATGAGTGGGATCACCTGGTTGACAAATTGGGTGATGGTGTAAAAATTGAATTTCCTGTGAAAGTTAGGTTATTTATATCTCAAGGACCCAAGAGCCACACCATCACAGCTGGAGAAATTAAAGAATCTCCCAGATATTACATTGAGAAGCTCAGTGTACACCAGAGCTGCCAAGTCTGACGGTTTACCCGTGAGTCTCCAGGTTTTCACACTGACCTCCAGGTCTCACGGTTGGTGTTGAAAATCTCACGGAATCCGTTAAAATGGTCCTTTATGCATGGATTCTGCATCTATGCTCTGAAAAAACATACAGTTTGCAAAAATATTGTCTGTTCTTTCAAATAAGAATCTGTACGTATTTGTAAAATGACACTCCTGTCAAAAAAATTAGTAGCGTGGAAGTATAACATAATCTAAACATGAATTATGTGTGTGTGTGGGCTTATTTTTTATTACACACGCATATATATGGCAATCTCGTTCCCCGAGCATGCCCTGTCAACAATAATATAAAATCAACAAGTTATACATAATTTGATTAAAATTTTTCAGTATTAAATATTGTCTGCGCGAGGAGGGGGGGGGGGGTACGATCTACGAACTTAAAGGCCCCAGCAACCTCCAGGTCTTTGATCATCTGAACTTAGCAGCTCTGTGTACACTGTCTCAAAGAAGCTTTTAGTCTTACTTAATTTAACTCGTATAGTTAATCCTTTCACTCTTCAACAAATGTTTGCAGTTTTTAGTATCTAAACTTGGCTTTTATGCCAGAAATTTGTACTCTGCCTGGCTAATAGCAGACAATTTTGTATAATATGAGCTCCAGGATGAAAGGATTAATTATATCAGCAAATATACTTTGTTTATAATAATTAGAATTAAGCTATAGTTTAATCACAGACAGCCCATCCCTTGTCTTATTAGAAATACATAGTATTTGTATAGCTAGCATTTATATAAGTTAGTAGTGAATAATGGGCATAGAGCCTGAATGGGCTGGCTGGATGCCAGCAAACACAATTGCGTGGCTGAGGGATTATTTTCTTTTTTCGACATGAGCTAGCACATTGCTGGCAGCCCTCTGCCCTGTATTCCACATGGAACTATATAAATAATATGTGATTTTAAAACACAAGGGATGGGCTCTATGTTGTTTAATTTTTATTAATATTGAAGAAATTATAATTTTTTGGCAGAAATATGATTGACATTTTCAATGAATATTGTTTTCATTGTAGTATTAATATTGCATAATGTTTCTATTTACACTATGTTTACAAATCTGGATCAAAGTGTCAAGTATATCCTTCACAAAAAAAGTAGCTATAACACTAAATGTGAATGCCTGAGTTGAAAATTTTATAAATAATATATTAGTAAGAGCCACTCATATATTGTGCCTTTCAACTCTGATCCAGGTACAAACCATAGCATTTGTGTCAACAATCAATCCGAAGATGGAGTTTTCTCCGGGTACCCCAGTTGCCACAAAACTAATAGTTGTTGGTTGCCGCAAAACTAATAGTTGTTGGTTTTCTCAGAGTAGTCCGGTTTCAAAAGTTAGAATTCTGCCATGTTCTTTTCTTACTTTAATTTACTGCCAGTTAAAGTTTTGTTTTCCTCTTGTTCCTTCTTGTTTCACCAAGCTCATATTCCCAGTACTGGTCATTTTTCTTGGTATAGTTTCTCTTTGGTCATTCTCTGTGCTTCAGTTCCCACAATCTTGCTTCATGTTTCAATACATCTGCAGGACCATTGCATTTGTTAGACTTTCTCAGAACAATACTTCTGGCAACATCATTATTTTTTTCTACACCTTGTCCAGTAAAAAGCTTGACCATAGCATGCATTTGCTCGTTTGTGGCCAATAACCGTACCATGCAATGAAATAGACTAACCCATTCTTGTGCTTTAAGGAAGTAGTCGGCTACCATCTCTTCCGAAGGATCTCTGCAAGTAACAATTGCATAAACCGTTGAAAATGTTTGCCAGATGAGCTTTACTTCATTCTCATAATCTGGAATGACAGCATCCAATTTCTCTGGCAGTTCCTTGAGAAGTTTCTTCTTATCAGTGCCAAGAAGACTGGTAAAGTCATACAGGCCAGAACCTTGCTTATCAGCATTCACTTTCTCCCAAGTCTATAGCACCTTGAACTAAATTGCCAATTAGTGCAACAAATGCAACTTGTCTGGGATAACATGACTTAGCTCAATGTCCAAAAGGGGTTTATGTACACAGTAGAAATTTTGTTTTACCTGCCAATCTATGCATCTCCTCTAATGTTCTTTTTAGGGGTGGTGAGTTGTAGTATTCTAAGTCATGACTCACGTTCCACCTCTCATCTTTGTGAACGGTACACCATACACATCTATGGTTTGATGTCGCTGAGGCCCATCATGAACAGGATGAATTTTTATTATCCCTGCCCAAAAACATTCTAGATTCACAGTACCTTCATCGACCTCTATCTTCTTCTCCGCGACCACTTCATTGATATCCCGGAGGACATCTTTGAATGACTCCTTCAATACATCATAGTCCTCCTTACCCTTACCCTTAACCACAGATATTGTGTGGTTTCCATTAGCTGCCATTATGTCCTTTGATGCATCAAGCAAACCAAAAGTCATAAGAATGTAATTTGACGATCTGGTCATATTTGCTCCATCTCATGAAATCTTCACTCTAAGAGGTACACCGTCACTAATTATATTTGGATGGCTCATTATATAATTTTGTACCCTTTCTTTCAACAATTCCTTGAAAGAAACTTGGGCCCCTTCTTAGTCACCTGGTAGTGCATTTATGTGACACATTTTGTTCAATTATTGGTCTTGTTCAATTGGTCTCTTCTCTGCTTGACTAGATAAGATTTTGGCAATCCATTTATAACCATTGACAACTCATGGTAAAAATGATCACCAACACAAAATCTGTCAAGCAGAAAAAGGACCTTTTCAACCTTGGATTTATCATCATCCGAGAGTGCATCAAAACCTTTGTCACTTGCTTGGTCAGTAGTTTTGTTTGGAAGTGTCAAATTATGCTTCACACCAGATTTAACTTCGCTTACAATTAAACTCTCAACTTGGAGGCCAAATGATCTTGAAAACCACAATGCAACGTTGGCTCAAGACAAATATTTTTTCAGTGTTCTTGATTTTTTTATGACCTCAGAAATGTCTTTTCCTTTGTGCTGCAAATCCTGGGATTTTTCAAGTATTTCAATGTAACTTAAAAGTTTCTCATTTTTTGAATGCAGATGTGAAATCTCTTTGTTTTTTTTTCATTTATAGCAGTTTCCATCTCACCATATAATTTTTGCATATCTGTTTCCAGATTGGTACACTTGCTCCTCCATTCTTCCAGCTCATCATGAACCTGTTGGCTTTCATGTTGGAGTTGTGCGAATGAGATGGTTTGTCCCTCAAAAATATGGAATTTTTTGCTTCTGCTATCCAGTGCCATTCTCTTCCTACCTCTTGTATTATAATACTCCATATGAACTTTACTTGCAATACGTAGAAGTGATTTGCTTACTTGAGATCTGGTGACCTCATCACAACTAATAGCAAACAAATCCCAGGAATTGAATGTTCTGGCAATTCGACAAACATGTAGTTAGGTATTACACTTGTTGTTGCTTCGCTGGAAGGTTGGACAGGCTTCTTGAGAACAACTAAACTATACCAAGCTCTCAGTAGCGGGTAAGGTATATCCACAGCAAAAAGTACATTCTTGGTTGTACATATCTTGGCATATGCTAATGAAGATCTTTCAATGGCTAATTTCCATTGCAAATGAGCACCCAACGGTGGAAAATCAGACATTACACTATATTCAAAATCAGTATAAAACAACAACAATCAAATCAAAGAAATGTAAATATCAACACTAGCAAAAGTAATCCCTTTATTCGTGCAATCTCAGAACAAATCTTCGCAAGCAAAGCCAAAATATTGAATTTTGCGGAAAATGGCGCTATTTATTTATGAATATACGAGCACATTTAACAATAATACAGCAGTATCTACCCTGGTAACTAGGCAACAGCTCAGGAATGTAAAATGGCAACAAACGAAGTGGGGAGGGATATTTCGCTTACAGTTTAAAAGCTTCGACTGACTAGTGATATTTTAATAAAACTGAATTAAAATGAATAAAAAGGATTAAAATTACCTGAGCTTTCAGACTAAACGTCCATCATCAGGGTAAAATGTGAATAACATATATCTACAAGCAATATTTATACTAAGTTCCAACTGCCTACATGGCAAACAGTCATGTCAAATTGTACTAATTAAAATTCTAATGATAAGAAGCTATTGTGTATAAAAGAGATTAGGAACTAATCAACTGTGCTTAATTAATGATGTTAATATAATACAACTAAAGTCACTGTTCATTGAATATATAGTACAACTGAAGTCATTGGTTCATTGTACTTTGACAGAAGCGGTATATACAAATCGGGGAGAATCCATCCTCTGTCTCTATTGGCAATTGCACCATCTGTTTTTGCAATCTCCCATGCTTCTTCCCATTTCCTCTGCTGTTCCCGACTCTCTTTCAATAAAATTGATGCTCTATCCCAGGCAATCCTATGATCCAAATTACATGAGTGCTCTGCTAAAGCTGATTTTTCTGTTTTGAAATTCCTCACACTTGAAATATGCTCCTTCTTCCTTGCCAGAAAAGCACGCCCGGTTTGGGCAATGTACTGTACATCACAATCTTTGCATGGAATCGAGTAAACAACGCCTGTTTCTTTCTCATCAACGATCGAGTAAACAACGCCTGTTTCTTTCTCATGTACTGTACATCACATCTCCAAGCCTTCTCGTTGGTTTTTGCATAACTTTTAGACCATGTTGTTGCAGAACACGTTTTATCTTCTCACTGGTGCCCTGAATATAGGGAATCACTACATACCCCTTGCATTGCTCTCCAACCCTCGAAATTCAACTATTTTTGCCTCGGCAAATAATTGCCGAAGTCTTTCGATAATTTTCGATAATTTGTTTTGCCGGGGCACGCAATGAAATCACTTTAAATCCCTTCGGCAATTACTTCGGCACCCTCGGCATTCACGTCGGCAGTTGTAATTATAAAGTAAAGTACATACGGAAATTATTGTAAACAAATATTATAACGAGCGTAGATTCTGGCGTTTGACAAGTTGCTGTTATTTTACAAATTCCTGATTCAAAATGTTTTTAAAAAGTTAGTGGTAATTAACAACAAATAGTATTAACGAATAAACTTGATGGTAATCACGTGACAGTCTAAAAGATAAAACAAAGTTTCTCGACGTGCCGTCTTTAAACCATCAAGATTGTTCTTTATTTCAGCCGAAGCCGATGCTGAAAAGCTTAAATTTAAGTATTTTGTAAAGTACGTAGCTATGAATGAAATCTTCTGTTGTTCACCCAACGTCGATGACAATTAGTGACAACAATTCTAACAATGAAGTGATGCAAAAAACGAACACTGTAGTTTGTAAATGTAAGAAAAAAAAACGAACAGACGCTGTAGTATGTAATTTAAGGTACAACGGGTGGAATTGCCTCGGCATTTTTTTGCCGAGGCAAACTACGAAAAATCGTAACTTGCCTCGGCAATTGCCGAGTGCCGAGGCGAATTTCGAGGGTTGCTCTCTGGTCAAAGACTCCGGACCCAATTCTTTGTCCCTTTCTTTGTCCAAAATCTTTTTACACCATTTCTTTATCAATTGTTTTGGGTAGCCATTTGCACCAAGGGCTGTACAAGTATGCTTGATTTCTTCATTATGACCCAGCTGGGTGGATGGTATCCGGATGGCTCTCGTACACAAAGTATCAACAACAGCTGCTTTGTGTTGAATTAGGTGGCGAGATTTAAAGTTTAAGTAGCAATCAGTGTGGGTTTTCCTTCGGTAAACATCAACGGTTATACTTCCATTATCACTCACTACATTACGAGAATCAAGGAAAGCCAATCCTGTTTCAGAGTTATCTTTCAACCGTGAATTGAATATTACTATGTTGAGCATTCAGGTGGTTGTGGAATTGATCTATAAGCCTCTTCTTAATTGCAGCAATTGTATTATCCACAAATCGGAAATAAATTTTAGGTTCGACATGAAATGTGGAGATTGCCTTTTGCTCAATATGCTCCATCACCATGTTTGCAACCACAACTGAAACAGGAGAACCCATCGCCGTTCCCTGGGACTGTTTGTAGTATTTCCCTCTAAACAGAAATTGTGTGGAGTTCAAACAAAATGCCAACATATCACATATATCATCAGGGCTTAAACCTGTTCAGCTATTCAGTGTTGAATCATTATTTAATCGATCTTTTGCTAGAGAGACGACGTCAAAAGATACAATTTCTTCGTCATTCTCCAACCTCAAGGATTTAGCTATGTTCACCCAATCTGTGGTATTCTTTATATGGTACTTTGACTTCCCAGTTAACGGTGTTAAAATATGACACAACAAATTTGACAATTCATAAGTAGGTGATCCCATAAAACTTACAATGGGCCTTAAAGGGACACCGTCTTTATGAATCTTTGGTAATCCATATATCCTAGGTGTTTTACCGTCCGTTGTATTTAGCCTGTTGTGTACCGCTTCAGGAAGTTTGTACTTTTTTGAGGATAAAACTTTCTTAAGCTCTTTCTCACAAGACTTCGCCGGATCAGATTTCAATTTTGAGTAAACCGCATTGTCATTCAGCATACCAGTGATCTTATCTTCATACATTTGGCGATCCAGCACAACAGTCGAGTTGCCTTTATCAGGGGTCGAAATTCCCGCTATTCCACTATTCCGAATATACTAAAATGCCTGACGGAATAGTAAACTTCATGATCACAGTATTCCGTTTGTATAGTAGAAAAAATTATGATACCAAATATTGACAAGCAAGCTAGGGTTTTCCTCTTGTATAATATATCATTTTATACCGGACTTTGAGCCACTGTTCCACTTCGTAGCTAAGTTCTTGTTCGCTTGTAATACTTGCATATTCTAATTTCTTTGCACCAATAAAGTTTGCAAGTTCATTTCAGTGTTTGAATTTTGTTTTTTATTAATAATTTGTTCCTCACTGTACAGATCGAGCAATGCACTGTACATGTTTCTTTTACAATTATTCAGTTCACTTTAGGAGTCCCAAGGATGATTTCACGAAAATCAGAACATTAGCGCGAACCCTGCATCAACAGGCTCTCAGAAACAGTACATTAAGTATTCAGTACATTAAGTATTCATGATCACAGTATTCCGTTTGTATAGTAGAAAAAATTATGATACCAAATATTGACAAGCAAGCTAGGGTTTTCCTCTTGTATAATATATCATTTTATACCGGACTTTGAGCCACTGTTCCACTTCGTAGCTAAGTTCTTGTTCGCTTGTAATACTTGCATATTCTAATTTCTTTGCACCAATAAAGTTTGCAAGTTCATTTCAGTGTTTGAATTTTGTTTTTTATTAATAATTTGTTCCTCACTGTACAGATCGAGCAATGCACTGTACATGTTTCTTTTACAATTATTCAGTTCACTTTAGGAGTCCCAAGGATGATTTCACGAAAATCAGAACATTAGCGCGAACCCTGCATCAACAGGCTCTCAGAAACAGTACATTAAGGAATAGTGAATTTTCAGACGGAATAGTAAATATAAAAATCTACTATTCCTGCTGTATAGTACAAAAAAGTTAAATTTCGACCCCTGTTTATCCGCCTTTATTACAACAATGTTCTCATCTTTAGACAGATTTCTCATTGCCATTTTTTTCTTCTTTTGACACATTGTGTATGGTAGGTATTTTTGCATTCATTAGGATTCCAGATACTCGCCCCCGTATATCTACTTTCTCATTTTACATCCCCGTATATCTGCTCTCTCACTTTCACAAATCGTGTCGATTTAGTAGGCATTTATATACAAGGTGAGAAGTATAAATATCGATCTCTTGGGAACATATTTCCACTACTCAGATTGCTACCAGATTTTCGCGAGTTGATACTGACCTTATTTAATAAATTTGTAGACGTGGGACCGTATAAATTATTAACGGAATCCAACACAAAATGCGTATTTTGAATCAAATCTATAGTATGCCGCCATTTTGAATTTTTTTGGCAAAAGCCTAATGCGCATGACTGCCAGCCATGTTGTCCTTCATTTCTGGCCATGTTAATGACATGGCAAAGCTTTCTATCTATGCTCAGACAGAGTATAGATTCCAGTTTGAAATTACATCCTGCAAACCTGAAAACAAGCAGGTTTCTCAGAAATGGCCACATCACCACCAACACAGGGAACCATCACCTCCAAACCACCATTACGGGTACCACCTCCACCCAGCAACACTACACCAGCCAACGACCACAATACCAGCTCTAACCAGCATCATGCATTCCTCCACCAAGCAACGATTGATGGGGAAACAAACACAGTTCCCCACCATATACAACATGTTCATCTGATGCACGATATATTTCTTGGGAATAACAGGCGCAAAATTGTGACCGGTCACACGGTCACAAATCTCTCTCCTCCGCAGAGGCTTTTAAAGAATATGAAATTCGAAGGAATTGAAATAGCGCAATTTCTATTGCTTCGAATTTCATATTCTTTAAAAGCCTCTGCGTAGGAGAGAGGTCACAAATAGAAAATCACTTCCGGCTAAACACACGGCCATGAGCAAGTAGCAACGTGAACCTAGAACGGCTGTACACAGGCTACGCGAACCATGAAAGATGATTTTTTGGCAAGTTTTAGAAACGTAGGGAGCGCATATTAATAAGTTGGTCCCTTCACTATATATGTGTG